CTAAACGGCAGAGATTTTGACTGATGTAAAAAATATATATACGACCCGTTTAGTGCAATTTTGACTGACTGGAGATATGACCTTTGACTGACTGAAACAGGAATGACTGACTTAAAGGATAGATTATGACTGACTGAATAAATGATTTTTTAGACCTATGACCATCTAAAAAAAAATATTGACTGACTAAAAAAATCAAGTTTGACTGAAGAAAATATGACTGATAAAAAAAACTAACTAAAATAATTATGACATATTAACTACTCATCGCCTCTCCTCTCTATCTCACAAAAAAATACAGACAAAGACACGAATCCTTGACTAAATGAAGACATTATAAAACCAAACTGACTGAAAAGTAATCTCGTGACTTACTGAAAGCACAACCAACGTGACTGAGTGAAGGGGGTGAGACATAATATACATAAAAGTGAACCAGACTAATACTAATACTAAGTAAAACATACTTTAGGTTGTCAAATAATATAAAGAAATAAAGACTTAGGCAGACTATATACTTACGGTGCTCAAACATGACAGATATCGATGACTGACATATCACAAACGGCTTCTGACTAACAGACTAGACGGTGTATCAACTGTCACGCCTGGATAAAATAACTTACAGGATATTAAAACGTAAAAAACCGAGGACCACAGACTGACACACACTAGACACTGGACACTAGGCAGACACTAGACAGAACGGACAGATATAAACATTTTGGATGACTTTAGAAGACATATTTACACCTTATGAAAATGACCCACTTCAGACAAAAACAAACTTAAGACGTAGCTTTGGAAAAAACTAAAGATGTTAGACTTGAAACAGACGACCTAAGGTTAACTGACTGCCCTGACTTGACTGAAAGACCCAAGATAAATGAAATTAATTTGTAAATAAGGGAAAGACTTCAGCAGTGACTCAGACAGTGACTTCATGCTGAGGAAACGACAATGGCAAGATACTGACAATCTATACACTGTTGAAAGGACTGAATGCATAGATGCTTTTGACTATAGCACGGACTTTCGTAGGACTTCTAAGGATTTCAGATGAACACTGACTCTCTTGACACTGGACAGGACTAAAGGTTTACACTGACATCTGACACGACCTCAGAATAACATTGACTCGCTTGACAGGACTCAGAATAATACTGAGTCTCTTGACAGGACTTCAGATTACCATTGACAGAACTTCAGTTTATCACAGATACATGACAGCACTAAGGATTTACACTGACATTTGACAGAACTAAAGATCAACACCGACATTTGACTGGACTTCAGATTAACACTGACTCTTGACATGACAGATCCTTCTCACACTACAGCACAGGCACGTGACAGAGACAGGTGGACGTCAACTGACAAGACGGTGCAGTATTAACTGACAAGGCAAATGATGTTGTGCAGATGAGATTCAATAGACAAGGAACCCATGAGTCACCGTGACAAACCCTGCTGACTCACCATAACGAACTCATGACTCATATTAATAGACCCTCCAGACTCACGAGAAATAACAATACAAAATAGACCTAACTCACTCGCTATAAATAATGACTCGTGACTCATGACAAATCCTACTGACACGCCATAAAGAAGCCCAACTGATTGACAATGACAGCCCTTAAATGAGTCACTATGACAGACCTTACTGACACCAGAACTCGCCGAGAGACATATCCGACTGACTCGTTTTAAAGAACACGTGACTCACCATGACGGACCTGATGTGACTCGCCACAGTAGATCCTAGTGACTCACCTAAAAAAAAAAGACACGTGACTCATTGAAACAGACCTAGCAGACTCATTGTGAAGATCCCATGACTCAAATTTATAAATCTTACTGACTGACTTATGCAAAAAAAAGAGAGACTGACGGACGGACAGTATGTGACTCACCATGACAGAACCCCAATTTGACTCGGAGGACTCACTGAGCCAGACATCATTGACTCATTATAACACAAACTCATGACTCATCTCAACAGACCCTTACCCTCAGAATGAAAACAAGAAAACGAGGATAAAGCATAAAAAATGATAATAAAGACTTTCAAAGACTTAACGTACGAATTCGAAGAAAGTCAGAGGAAGAAGAAAGGACATTCCGCCATTTTGTTTTTTGACTGCCTGGCTGAGAGGTTTAAAAAAAAAGCGCGGGAAAAAAAGGTTTGAATTGTTTCTGAATTGACGTTCAGCCTAAATGTGATTCTCAGATTCAGGAAACGTTTTTAAGAATATGAAAAAAAAACTTTATGAGGAAGTTTTTTTTTTTACTTGAGACTTTATAAGTATATAAATCAAGGACACAGGTAACCCTAACGGAAGGACAGACGAGAAGAGAGAAAAAAACTGGACGAAACTGAACTGGACCGCCATCTTGGAAAATAGAAAACGGGAATTGCAGTTGAAATGTTTAGTAAGAACGATTGTAATTTTTTTTCAGTTCACTCATCACTCGAAGACAAAAAGTAGGAATCACAGTTGAGAATCACTTGAGCGGAATTTTAGTCAACCTAAACTCTAGGAAGCCGCTCTTCTAGAATCTTCCATATAGCACCGATTACATATTTAAAAAAAAAATAGAACACTCATCTCACTTATAAATCATGTAGGCACGCTCTTTACCTCACTGTGCAACACGAAAAAAGTGTTCCTCGCTATTACGGTGTAAAGCGCTTAGGCACAGATGCATAAAATAGAAGAGCTGCATTTAGGTTGTGAGACGAAAAGATAAACAAGAATAAAAGCTATATTATGTATATATATTCATTATTTCGGTTATGCACTGGAGGTATAGCCCGTAGGTCGCGTCTGGTAGAAACTCCCGCTGGTTGGAGGGTTGTATAACGGATATTTGGCGCATGAGGAACGCTGTGATTAATTTATTTTAAATACAATAGAAGAAAACGTTAAAATCTCGCGAATCAACCAAATCGTCGCAGCTTCCTATGCCTTTATTCCGTTCTATTATCTACCGGACGCTCCTGTATGTGACATGGATCAAAATGTTTTACAAATACCCCTCTGAAGGGATTAGTCGTCGGGGCTCCATAAAGTCGAAATTCTATGGTTTTTTGAAGTGGAAAATCGTCTCTACGATCCCTCTCACATAAGGTTGTTTTTTCCCATTCTCCCCCGACTGTGTGCTTCCTCCAATGGGCCGCCACGACCTTTTCCTTCAGAATTTCACCCGCCGGAGGTTTCAGTGTTGTTATTGAAGCTTGTTGATTGATGATGAAAAAAATACACCTGTAATTTTTTTTTCATAAATTTTTTTGCTCCATAAAAAAACTTTGAGGCCTTTTAATATCCCTTGGTGTTTAAAAGAGTGTGGGAGAAATGACAGATAACCTCTATTTACATATACATATATATATATATATATATATATATATATATATATATATATATATATATATATATATATATATAACGCAACATGCAAAGATAGAATATAGAATGAAAATTATAACATTCTAATCAGGAAAAGGCAAATACGCACTCTAAATTCGGAAATATTATTACCCTGAAAAGCCGAAATTCTTGGCAATCTTAAACTGTGGACCGGCTATGCTACGAGAGAAAAACTCAATAATAAAAATTATCACTCTTGATTGCAAGAACATAAAACCTAAGAAAGTGATTATAACACTATAACTATAACATTCAGTTTTGCATGAATATAAAACGATTGTTCATGCTATAATGGGTGTAAGTGTTAAGCAAAGTGAGAAAGCTTATGGTATAATAACAGTCAGGCTCTTGGCTCAGTATCTCCGAGTCTAAGGATATGATACATATACCTATATACACGTGTGTATGTGTGTGTGTATGAATATATATATATATATATATATATATATATATATATATATATATATATATATATATATATATATATATATATATATATACGAGTATACATACATACATACATATATATATATATATATATATATATATATATATATATATATATATATATATATACATAATATATAGATACGTATACGTGTATATATATTGTACACACACATATATATATGCACATGTATATATAATGTGTGTGTGTATGTGTACGTACGTACGAATGTATGTATGTATGTACATATGTATATATGTATGTGTGTGTATGAATAGATAAGTGATTATATATATATATATATATATATATATATATATATATATATATATATATATATATATATATATTAATTTATTTATGTATAACAAACATGGCATAGATATCAAACAAACTACTAGTAAGCTAACATACACTTACAAGAAGGATTCGCTTACATTTTCAGTTGCTCTCTAGTTGAACGGTGTACCTCAGAAACCGCAAGACATAGAGTTTGGGGTCAGGTCACCCAAGGTCAGGTCACAATCCACCTGAAAGTTAAATTGCTTGACCCTATTTTTTCAAGCTATTTTTAGGATCGGAAAATTGCCACATAGTTTACACAAAAATATAATACATAAAATCGTGAATCTCTTTAACTTAGATCCTTCATTAACTAAATAGAACAAATATGTAAAAAAGGCAACATATGCAAAGCCTCTCCGATAATGTAACCCTGACACAAAAATTCTTAATTTAGAAAAAAATATGAACTGGAATCAGTTGAGAAACCAACCATAATTTTTTCCCAATAATTCCATTCGCTCCCAAGACGCGATACGAGACGAACGTGTATCTTCGCTGCCTCTCATCAAAATCCCGCCTTCGTTCTGCTATAAGGAAACGAAACATTTTAAAAGAAGAATTCAGGAGGATATATTGGTATTCTCCTTACCTTCAACGCGGAAAAAAAAATTCAATATGAAGAGCCGTTTTTTGTTGGCGGTTATTTTAACGGTTCTACTGGTCACTGCTTCCGAGGCTTTGCCTAATCCACAACGTAAGTAATTTTCAGTAGTTAATATTCTTTTAAAACTTTTTTTTAAATGTTTATTTGATATTATCCAACCCTTAGTTTTTTTTTTGGTAAATGGTCATTCACATTTCGACTGCATCACCAAAAATATTACTAGACAAATATAAGTTATAATCTACTGTAGTTTCACTTTATGCTAGTTTAGATTAATTGTTTATTTACCTAATTTATTGTGATACTTACTGCATTGATTTTAAACCTAACAACGTTACTGAAATTTGATAATTTTCAGATTATTTGTTTGCAACAAACATGTCAAAGTGAAACAAAAATCAGATAATCGTCAAGGAAAAAACAACAACTATTTTTTTGTTTAAGAGCCGTTGTGTCTTTTCCTCTTTTATATAGAAAATGGGATTACCGATTATCCGTTTCTTGCCCGTTCGCATGAACATGATCAGACAGTTTTCCTGTATTGCCTATTCCTATTATTCTATCTTTTATCATCCGTGCGAGAAGCAAGTAAAATTGCATTTATTCTGTTTATTATATGCCTCTCTTAAATCCATTTTTTTTTCTTTCGTTGTGTTCTCTCTCTCTCTCTCTCTCTCTCTCTCTCTCTCTCTCTCTCTCTCTCTCTCTCTCTCTCTCTCTCTCTCTCTCTCTCTCTCTCTCTCTCTCAGTCTCTATTTCTCCCCCATTCTCTCTCTCAATTCCATTTTCTATTCAGTATCTATATCTTCCGTCCTTCCTTCTATCTGTTTCTTTATCTCCTTCCATCCATTCAATCTTCAATCCAGTCAGTTGATCTTATAATATTCCTCTCTTTATTTCCCATTACCCTCTTTTTCTTCTTACATCTATCTTTTATCTACGTCTCTCCTCCTTCCCTCCTTTCCCCTCCTCCTCTTCCTTTAATCCTCACCTCTCTGTATCTCCTCTTCCTCCTATTATCTTTATTTCAGTATCTATATATCGTCCTTTCATCTCCATCCTATCCTTCTATCCCTTTTAATATCTTCATTTTCACCCCTTCCCGTGTTCATGCCACCTAGTTCATTTTCCACTCAGTGACTTCATTCTCCAATCTCTCTCTCTTTCTCTCTCTCTCTCTTTTCCGTTCTCTCTCTCTCCTTTTGTCTCTCATTCTCTCTTTTTTTCTCTCTTTCTTTCTCTCTCATTCTCTCTCTTTCTCTCTCTTTCTCTCGTTCTCTCTTTCTCTCTTTCTCTCTTTCTCTCTTTCTCTCTTTCTCTCTCTCTCTCTCTCTCTCTCTCTCTCTCTCTCTCTCTCTCTCTCTCTCTCTCTCTCTCTCTCTCTCTCTCTCATACTCTCTCTCTCTCTCTCTCTCATTTTCTCTCTTTCTGTCTCTCTCTCTCTCTCTACACATACACAAACACACACATACACACACACACACACACACACACACACACACACACACACACACACACACACACACACACACACACACACACACACACACACACACATATATATATATATATATATATATATATATCCGCCTCTCTCTATCCCTTCTCCCTCTCTCCCTCTCCCTCGCTTCCTTCTACTACTTCCTCAATGGCACCTGAGGCCTACCTCTTTTAATTCTTTACTTCCCGCTTTTATCTTTTTATTCTACACATAATCTTTACATCCGTCTCTTACCCCTTTCCCTTCCCCCTTTCCTCCTTCGCTAATTCCATCTTCCATCTAGGTACTCTCCCAATCCTCTCTCTCTTTTTTCTTTAATTCTACACACACACACACACACACACACACTTACACACACACACACACACACACACACACACACACACACACACACACACACACACACACACACACATATATATATATCTTTACATCTATCTCATATGCCCTTCCTTTACCCATCTCTTCCTCCACCAATTCCACCTCCCACCTAGTTCCTTCCGTTCTCTAACCCCCCCTCTTTATCTCCCTCTCCCTCTCCCCCCTCTACAGCCTCAGCAATGTCCCCCGAAGCCCGCCTCGCCTCCCGAAACCCACGTGTTGGAAGCTTCCCTCCAGCCAAGGACTACACGGCCCACGTTAGACACAAGTTTCCCATTTTCAAGTTCCACATTCCTATTAAGAGTTCGTAAGGGGAGGTTCCGGGGATCGAAGGATATTATTTGGTCGTATTTGGTCATGGAGAAGAAAAAGGAATAAGGAATTTTTGTACGTTATTTGAGAAACGCTGGGTAAGTTGGCAGAGAGGAAACTACACTGCTTGATGGTGAAGTAAAAATGGTGTTTTATTAATTACTGGGTGATTTTGACAAAAAATAGATTTCCATCATGAATTACTGGATAATTGAGAGAAAAAATATTAACTTTACATTTTGATAAAAGAATAAATTTTAAGATTTAATAATAAAAAACAGTAACTTTATATTACGA